TGTGTGTTGTCTGTGACAGTGAACAATATTTCCTCATCTCTGTGAATTTTGGCAATCCAATGATCTTTTTGCTCTTGTTTCTTGGAAAAACAATGAAACCGCAAATGTCGTTTTTCTTTCACTTAGTATTCAGTATTGCAAGAGGAAACACAGTAGCTGTGTGGCATTTTCTGTTTTTCATGAATATTTCACATCAAATCTATCTGCATTCTCAGCTGTGATCAGCTGTGTAAACCTATACCCCCAGTTTCCGGGCCTTACTCGGCGGGCACTTACTAAGGAATCAAACTTGAATGTGGTGTAAGATTGCAATATGCATTGATGCAAAAAAAAGTTTCAGTAAAAACACTAACAGTTCTTAAATTATTATTCTCTCCACGGTTTCAGGGTAAAGACGTGCAATCGCATCTTGAGTCAGCCACGTTAAATCATTGTGAGTTTGCCTGTGCTAAACTTAACGGCACACAGGTTCACTTGGGTGAAACATTAGTTCAATTATGTTAATTACATGATCGAGAAACAAAAGTGAATATAGATAGAGAAGAATGAACATACATTTGATTTGGAAGATTAAAGAGTTTAGTGAAATGTTGAGGCATGGACAGGCAGCGGCAGATCCATGATTTTTCTTACTGACTGGTGAGGTCATCTAAGGGGTGTAAAAACCTGATGACTGAAGTCACACATGTGACGTCAAAACTGAAGGATCTAGCTTACTACCTGTAATCAGGCGGTGTTGGACACGGTTCACGTGACCAATTTTGTCCAATCACATCATTGCAGATGGCGGACTGATTCTTTCACCTTTGTGCGGGTAGTGTCTTCGATTTTCGCCATTTATCAAGTGATTTATGATAATTTTTTTTGGAAAGTTTCAGTAGACAGATGTAGCAAGCCGCAGTTCTTAAGACAATATGATGTACGTTTGTTTTCTATTGATATTGTTGGTTGTAATTCTTCATGCGCATAATCCCTTTGTTTAGTTAAGAGCTATTGTTTATGCTTTTCAGTCTATATCTTCTCTGTGTTCAACGACCCCTGACCTCCATTTTTAGCCCAATCTATTAGTTTTGTTGTTCAAGAATCTGAAATGCTGGGGCTCGCCGTTTTACGGGTCAAAATGCCACTTGAGGTATACCTACGTGCATGAATCGTGACTCCATTGTGCGGTCACGATTGAACCAGCTTAGAATACTTTCACTACACGATCAGCTCAGAATACTTTCTTTCATTTCCTTTTTATTCGTCTTTAAAAATATATTTTTTTGCAATATATATGTCATCAAAGCAGCCCTTAGGCCCTCCTTTTTGAATAGTTCTGTGGCTTCTTCCTTCTGCCCTTAGCCGCAAAGAGATAAACCTTCTGTGCGAGATTCTTCATGATTCCTAATAAATCATACAAAAAATAACGAACAGATAAAACTGAATTCATACGGAAAAAATGACTAGAAAACCTCGCTAACTTGCTGTTGTCCTCAACAACAACAAGTTAGCGGAGGAGGATTCCACATTTGCCTTGCCCTCCAGCTTCTTCTGGAAAACCAGAATAGGTTGCACATTATTTTCGATGAGAAGATCAGTATCCTTCATGCACATGTCAATGTACCTGAAAAAAAATCTGAAGTGAAAGGAGTGCTAAAGAGAAGCTTACGTTCAAAATCAAGCACTTTAGGCAAATGTAAGAACGAAGTGTTGATACGTACCGTGTTGCTTCGATCCCAAAATCTCTTCGACACACAGTTTTGTGAAGCCAGCAGTAAACGTCGATTGCGGCCACCTTTCCGCAGAAAGATCTCAAGTGCACATCGCATGTTGTGTCCTTTAAAAGCGGAAGAAAACCTGTAATTCCCATATCACACTATTTCTCCCGGTATTTTTATGGCGCAACGAGAGATGTGAACAAAGCGAAGGTCAGATGCAAATGAGCTGTTTTTGATTTTTTCCCCATGATGCCCTTCGGACCGTGTCCAACACCGCCTGACCTGTAATGGAGGCTACCGTTGTTTGTCACAAATCTTACGTGAAACCGCTTTGTTTCTCAAAACAGTTAAAGGCATGTTCTCTTTAGTAGGGTGGTGGATTTGTTACTATACAAAACATGAATCTACATGTTATGCATCTTGATTGAATCTCCTGAATTTCTTTGTTGTCCATGTGACGATGTGTCCTGAAAATGGATGTGTTTTTTACCTGCTTGAACTGTTGAGAAAAGTTCCAAGAAAACTTACCAATACTACGGATGTGGATGAGCAAAGACTATTGGTACTGTTGTGGAGTACAATTTCATCTGGGTTTTTCCGTAAATTAGTTCTAATGTGATCTCTCATGTCCTGTGTGGAACATTCTGGAAAAGAGGAAATCTTGACTTAAGCAGTACTTTACATTTTCCTCCCTTGTAAGTTCTTTAGGATGGAATCACTAAGCAAGAACACCTTTCTTCGCTTGCATTGAGTACTTCGGCCAGCACCTAAGTTTCCTTTTGTTCGCTCTGTATTTGTCTTCTTCTCTCCGCCCAAAACAAAACCCATAAATGCTGCTCTTGCCTGAGCTCTGTTTACTGGGCAATAAACACACTTAAGTTGGAGCAATATGGCTATGGACAATAGGTCCATAGCTGCTTTTATTGAAACAAAGAGAACAAAAATGAATTCTGTTATAATATGTTTGCCCAGTAAAGGTGCGGGCCGAGAAAACGCACCAGCACTAAATATACTACAGAAAAAGTGGACGGATCAGGGGAAGGAGGTGGGAGTCAAAAGAAGCTTCTAACTCCGTGCAATAGAAACGAATGGCAAGCACATGGCTTGCGAGTTCATGTGACTTGTCAAAAACCTTAGAGGGGGGTTGAACGTAATGGCCATTGACACCTGACCGAAACCCAGTCCCCCTTGATTATCAAATAAACCCTGGTCAAAGAGAGAAGACATAAAAATTGTAATTGCAAGCAAATATTTTGTTTATGTCTTCCTCTCTCCGCCCAAAACAAAATCCATAAATGCTGCTCTTGCCTG